ACTATTGATATCAACAGTTATATGCATTATTATTGAAGTCAAAAGTGTATTACTATTGAAGTGAACAGTTCAATGCATTACTATTGAAGTGAACAGTTCAATGCATTACTATTGATGTCAACAGTTCAATGCATTACTATTGATGTCAACAGTTCTATGTATTACTATTGAAGTCAACAGTGCATTACTATTAAAGTGAACAGTTCAATGCATTACTATTGAAGTGAACAGTTAATGCATTATTATTGAAGTGAACAGTTCAATGCATTACTATTGAAGTGAACCATTCAATGCATAACTATTGAAGTGAACAGTTCAATGCATTACTATTGATGTCAACAGTTCAATGCATTACTATTGATGTCAACAGTTCAATGCATTACTATTGATGTCAACAGTTCTATGTATTACTATTGAAGTCAACAGTGCATTACTATTAAAGTGAACAGTTCAATGCATTACTATTGAAGTGAACAGTTAATGCATTATTATTGAAGTGAACAGTTCAATGCATTACTATTGAAGTGAACCATTCAATGCATAACTATTGAAGTGAACAGTTCAATGCATTACTATTGATGTCAACAGTTCAATGCATTACTATTGATGTAAACAGTTCAAATTATTACTATTGATGCCAATAGTTCAATGCATTACTATTTTTATCAACAGTTATATGCATTACTATTGAAGTCAACAGTGCATTACTATTGACATGAACAATTCAATACATTGCTATTGAAGTGAACAGTTCAATGCATTACTATTAATGTCAACAATTCAATGCATTACTATTGAAGTGAATAGTTCAATGTATTGCTATTGAAGTGAACAGTTCATATTGATGCCAACAGTTAAATGCATTACTATTGAAGTTAACAGTTCAATGCATTACTATTGATGTCAACAGTTCAATGCATTACTATTTATGTCAACAGTTCAATGCATTACTATTAATGTCAACAGTTCAATGCATTACTACTGAAGTCATAAATTCAATGCATTACTATTGATGTCAACAGTTCAAAGCAGCATTAGTAATGAAATCAAACTGTTCCAGTGGCCTAGTGGTTAGAGAATCTGTCCTGGCCAAGTCATACTAAGAGCTTTAAAAAAAATGGTACTATCAGCTGCCTTGCTTGGTGCTCAGCATTAAGAGGTTAGTGTTAGGACTGGTTGCCTTGGTGTCAGGATAATGTGACTGGTTGGGACATCATGCCATATGTCTGCGGCATGATGCCCCAGTGCTAGACATCACTATAAACTGCCACACTGCAGACATCTTAGCTAATATGAGTGAAAAATTGTTAAAACTATATTAAAAATCAAAATCACACACACACACACACACACACTAATGAGGTCAACAGTTCAATGCATTACTACTGAAGTCAACAGTTCAGATCATTACTAATTAAAATCTACAGTTCAAAGCAATAATATTGAAGGGATAAGTTCACCTTTTGATATCCTCTGAAATTACTCTCTACAAAACTGACTGGGTCCTAATTAGAACTTAGTTTGCAGTAGTTTCTGTTCCCTAGTTAATTGTCAAGCCTGCCTTGGTGGAATCTTGATGCACTGATTATCTTGTCATTTGTATGCATATCTGTTCTATGTCCATCACACTCTAAATTAACCTGTTAAAAGTTTTTTACTTTCCTTTCATTTATACATTTTATCTTATAATTTTCAGATTTGGACAATAGATTACTTACCTTTATCTAGGTAAATAAATACCCTCATTATCCAAGCTCGGAAGGATTAACCTGGCTTACATAACAAGTATTTACATTTGCCAAAAATTGGAAGGGCTATGCTGTACTCTAATGTGAAATGTTCACAAACACATTTATCTTCTTGTTTCAAGTCCTTAATTTGTATTCAAATTGTATTAGTAGTCGGTCGTCCATTTTCATTTGTCCATCCATCCATTGGCAAATATTTGCTGTCATTATTCCTCCTGGACTGCTTTGAACATTGCATGAGACCTTACACACATTCATCCTATGGTCAAGTTGGTCCTAAATGAATATGGTGCTGCTCAGACATGGAATATGGCTGTCATGGTAGCTACATATCTTGAAAATCTTGTCATCACTAGTTCTCCTAAATGGATCTTCATATCAACATAGGGTTCTCCCTGAAAGACTTCTTATGTCTAGTTGAACCTAACTGAGAATCATTCCAATCTGTTGTTAAATATTATCACCACAGCAGTCATGTTGAAAATACCATTATTGTTACTCCTCCTGAATAGATGGTTATAGTAACACATGGATTTTACTAAAATACTTGTTATCATGTCTAGTTGGTCTTCAATTGAAATGGTGCCAAGGTGAGCTCCATTATGGCCACCATAGCAGCCATCTTAAAAATATTGTTATTGTTACTATTAAATGAATGGTGATATCAACAGCGGGTTTTACTAAAAATCTTCTTATGATGTCTGGAATGTGGCTTCCATGGTAAACATCTTAAATTTCTTATTATCACAATTCTACTTAAACAGAGTCATACTAGCATTTTTAGTAGGAGACTTCTTATGATGTTCATTTGGTCTTGAATAAAAATGGTGCCAATCTGATATCCAATATGGCCATAACACAGCATCATTTTGAAAGTCATTTTATCCTTGCTGTTCCTGAATGGATGTTTATATTAACATCAAATTATTCACTAATGACTAAGACTTCTTATGATCTGTCAAGATCAGGTTTTCACTAAAAGGTTATTTTCAATATCTGGTTGGCCTTATTAATGTCTAATATGGGTACCACAGCAGCCATCTTGAATGTCTATGTCTGATGGAAATGCTATGTCTTGCTATGTCTGATGGAAAGTTATATCTCTATTCTTCCCAAATGGATGGTTATATGAACATGGGGTTTTCACCAATCGACTTCTTATCATGCCTAGTTGGTCCTAAGTGAAAATGGCACCAGTGGTACATCCAGTATGGCTACCATAGTGACTGTCATACAAATCTTGTCACTATTTCCCATGAAAGGATGATCATTTTACATGGGGATTGCACCAAAACACTTTTGATGATGTCGGCTTTGTCCTAAATGAAAATGATGACAATATGTGCACTATAGCAGCTAATTTCAAAATTTTCTTATTGCAAGAGAATATCAAAGATGGTCTAAATACTTAAAATTTTAAAGGAAGAAATGGAGATATCTTTAATTTCAGTAAATTCTTTTCTCCTTCTAGACCATTAGTCTTTTCAAACGACTTCTGTTTTGGTTTATGAATATTTTCTACAAACAAAGATGCCCACAAAACATTTTCACTCTGTCCACGTTTCACCATCCAGTCATTTCACATTAGCTCATGGAATGTAACAATTTAAGGTTAGCATTTTGGTTACTATGGGGTGTGCATGAATTTAACAATTGTTTTGGATGATTTTGGGGGTGGATGTGTGTTAATTTAACATTAAGTCTGGGTGGTTAGATTTGAATTTAACATTGTGTTTTTGATGATTGGGTGTGTGTGTGTGTTAATTTAACATTAAGTCTGGGTGGTTAGATTGGAATTTAAAATTGTGTTTTGGATGATTTGGTTGTGTGTGTGCATGTGTATTAATTTAAAATTAAGTTTGGTGGGTATATTGTTAGTTAACATTGTGTTTTTGATGATTTGGGGGTGGGTTGTTAATTTAACATTAGGTTTGGGTGGGTATATTGGAAATTAACCTTGTTTTTTTTGGATGATTTGGATGTGTATGTGTTTTTTTAAAATTAAGTTTGGTGGGTATATTGGAATTTAACATTGTGTTTGGGATAATATGGGATAGGGGTGTTAATTCAACATTAGGTTTGGGTGGGTATATTGGAATTTAACATTGTTTAGGATAATTTGTAGTGTATTTGTGTTAATTTAACATTACATTTGGGTGGGTATAATGGAATTTACCATTGTTTTAGATGATTTGGGTGTGTGTTAATTTAACATTACGTTTGGGTGGGTATATTGGAATTTAACATTGTTTTTTGGTTGACTTGTGGGGGCTAATTTAACATTACGTTTGGATGGGTATATTGAAATTTAGCATTATGTTTTGGATGATTTGGGTGTGTGTGTGTGTTAATTTAACATTACGTTTGGGTGGGTATATTGGAATTTAACATTGTTTTTTGGTTGACTTGTGGGGGCTAATTTAACATTACGTTTGGATGGGTATATTGAAATTTAGCATTATGTTTTGGATGATTTGGGTGTGTGTGTGTGTTAATTTAACATTATGTTTGGGAGGGTATATTGGAATTTAACATTGTGTTTTGGAAAATTTGGGAGGGTGATAATTTAATATTGTGTGTGTGTCTCTCTCTATATATAGTTTCATACAGACAATACTATCATACAGGTTAGAGAAATTAAATTCGTACTCTACTGAGTTTCAAACCCAGGTCTGTGAGTAATCGGCACCCATCACCTTGCCTGCATGCACCAGCCCATATCAAAAAGTGATGACACTGAGTCATGATATACAAGCTTGTGCATAGCACACACACAAACACACACTTATACAAACACACACACACACACACACACATATATATATATATATATATATATATATATATATATATATATATATATATATATATATATATATATATATATATATATATATATATATATATATATATAAGGCAAGACGATAAAATGCCAATGAATGACCAGACAACAAGGATAATAATTAATAATAATTAATCATTAATTATCTAAATGAACAAAGATACCTATATATATATGATTATGATTTTTAACATAACTTTAACAATTTTTCAGTCATATTGCTACAATGTCTGCAGTGTGGCAATTTATAGTGATGTCTAGCACTGGGTCATCATGCCGCAGACATGTGGCATGATGTCCCTCCCAGTCACATTATTCTGACACCAGGCCGACCAGTCCTAACTCTAACCACTTAATGCTGAGCATCCAGTGAGGCAGCTGTTATTACCATTTTTGTAAGTTTTTGCTATGACTCCACCAGGGATCGAACCCACGACCTCCCACATCCAAGGCGGATGCTCTAACCACTGGTCCACCGGAGTGATTACATATATATATATATATATATATATATATATATATATATATATATATATATATATATATATATATATATGTTGACAAGCCATACGGCTGTGTCTCTGATTGCCTCAGTCAACTAAAATCCAGCTCCTGGCCATCACGAGTGGCTTAGCTTATAAGTCTGGCAGATCATGACTTCACTAACAGGAGAAGGGGTAAAGGCAGTTCACCGGCACCTTAAAATGAGGAGATGAGGCTCATAAACCTTGGATGGTTGCTCAACTAGGAGAAGGAAACCTCTGATTCCAAACCTCTGCTGCCTTACGGCTATACCTACTCATGGGAAAGGCTAAGGGTGTAAACCCCTACAGAAAATCCAGAGACAGAGTCCCAAAGGTGGTCTGACATTGACTCAAATGCCATTCTGGCAACACCTTTGATGCTGTTGGTGCCAAGTTGTATCGGCATTAACCATTCCCTTGGGAACACCAGCTGCGTGGAGAGGGGGGATCTACTGCATGGGCAACAGCTGATTCTCCATATTACCCTGCCCAGGCTTTGTAGCTCCACTGGAGAGGACACATCAGCGTTACCGTAAGGTGTCGGCACAACACGGGAAGCAGCAGTTTACCGGCTATAAGCAATAGCTCAATTGGTGTAGAGCTTAGTGCCAGGGGTTGCTTCCAATGGTGGGAGAGACTGCTATGTCTAATTGGATAGCTACTGCCTGTCTCAAGCAGGGCAGCCCCCAGACAGTAAGGTGCTATCCCACCATGGCCTACCTGTTTCACTGGGTGCGTGAAGCTTAGGGAACATTCTCGACTAGTAGGCCAAATCACAGCACCAGGCAAGACCCAAAAAAGAGAAAAGAAGACTCCAGTTCTCCGTTCTGCAAGCTGGAACATCAGGAACATGTGTACTGGACTTACCAATGACCTGCAGGAGATTGAAGATGCACAGAAGCCTGCCGTAATTGACAGGGAACTTTCCCGACAAAATGTCGACATTGCCTGCCTTCAGGAGACCAGACTAGCTGACAGCGGCACTCTCAGGGAAACCAACTACACCTTCTTTTGGAAAGTCCACCGATGAACCTAGACAGTGTGGTGTCGGCTTCACTGTAAAGAACATGCTCATAGCCTTCATTGAGTCTCCATCAGCAGGCACTGAGAGGATCCTAACCCTTCAGCTGTCAACATCCTCAGCCTAGTCAACATCTTGAGCATGTACGCTCCAACCCTCTACTCCACCCCAGAGGAGAAAGACCAGTTCTATGAGGCTTTGGATCAAGCAATATCCAGTATCCCAAACACTGAAGGCCTCTACATACTAGGAGACTTCAATGCTAGAGTGGGAGTTGAACACGAGGCCTGACCAAGCTGTCTCGGCACTCATGGAAGGGGAAAGATCAATGAGAACGGCCAGTGACTGCTGAATATGTGCTATTTACACAGTTTATGCGTGACCAACACCTACTTCAAATGCAAGAAAATTCACCAGGTGTCATGGAGACATCCACGTTCATTCCACTGAAACCAACTAAACCTTGTCATCACAAGGCATGCGGAACTGGACAGAGTCCTCCTCACTTGCAGCTACCACAGCACCGACCACTCCCTGGTGGCCAGCAAGGTGTGAATAATACCCAAGAAGCATCACCATGCCAAGAAGAAGGGTTACTCATGCATAAATACATGTTGTGCAAACAAACCAGAGAAGACAAAGCAGTTCATCAGCAAGATGCAGAAAGCTCTAACCAAAAAGACATCGACTCCATGTAATCCCACCTCTGAGACACTGTGTATAACTCAGCCATTAGTGCGTATAGGAAGATGGAGCGAAAAAATACTGACTGGTATGAGGCCAGCTGGGAGGCTATGCTGACTGAGGCAAAGAGGAAAGCCCTTCTGGCTTACAAGGCTGCGCCTAGCCCTACAAGCCTTTAGGATTGCCAGGAAAAGTGCTCAGCGGACTGCCTGCCACTGTGCCAAAACTTATTGGAATCTCTGCAATAGCATACAAACAACTGCTGACACTGGAGATGCAAGTAGCATGTATGAGGGCATCAAGAAGGCGACAGGTCCCCCATCTCTCAAAACCGGCCCCCTCAAGTCCAAGATTGGAGTAATCATAACAGACCAGGAAAAACAGCTGAAGTGCTGTGTTGAGCACTATCACGAGCTGTATGCAAACCAAACCGTCGTCACCAATACTGCCCTGAAAACCATCCCAGACCTGCCAATCATGGATGAACTAGACACTCCACCCTCCATGGAAGAGTTAAGTAAAGCCATCGACTGTCTCGCTTGTCCCACCTGAAATCCTCAAGAACGGAAAACCGGCATTACTCCAGCCCTTACATGAACTCCTCTGCCTCTGTTGGGAACAGGGACACTTCCCCCAAGACATCCAGAATGCCAACATCATCACTTTGTACAAAAACAAAGAAGACTGCAGCATCTGTCACAACTACCAGGGCATCTCACTCCTCAGTATCGTCGAAAGGGCATTCGCATGTGTCAAACTGGTACGTTTGCAGACCCTAGCCTCCCATATCTACCCAGAATCCCAGTGTGGCTTCTGAGCTGGCCGGTCAACTGTAGATTTGATCTTCTCTCTACGTCAACTGCAGCAAATACCCCTCTACATTGCCTTCATAGACCTGACAAAGGCGTTTGACCTGGTCAGCCAGAGCAGACTCTTCAAACTCCTGAGGAATGCCCACCTCGATTGCTCTCTATCATCACATCGTTTCACCAGAACACTCAATGCACAGTGTGCTTCAACGGCGTAACATCAGAGGCCTTCCCAGTCAGCAGTGGAGTAAAGCAGGGTTGTCTCATTGTACCAAACCTTTTTGCCATCTTCTTCGCCGTGCTCCTCCAGTAAGACTTCAAGGACTGCAGCAAGGGAGTGTACATTCACACCAGGGCAAATGGCAAACTGTTCAACATCAAACGTCTCTATGCAAAGACCAAAATCACAGAGTTTCTCATCCATAAATTGCGCTTCGCTGATGATGCAGCTTTGACATCACATACGGAAGAAGGACTTCAGCAGCTGATATGTCGCCTCTCCCATGCCTGTAAAGAGTTCAGACTGACCATCAGTTTGAAGAAGATGAATGTCATGGCGCAGGATGCAGACTCCCCTCCAACCATCACCATTGATGGGTACAACCTTGAAGTTGTTGAGAACTATATATATCTTGGGTCCACCATCTCCAGCTCGCTCTCCATTGATGCTGAGGTGAACGGCAGGATTGCTAAGGCAGCAGCAGTTATGGCAAGACTGAACCAGAGGGTCTGGAACATTTTCAACCTCATTGAGAAGACCAAACTGCATGTCTATCAGGCATGTGTGCTCAGCACACTCCTCTACAGTAGCGAGGCATGGACCACCTACAAGAGCCACAAAAGGAAACTCAATAGATTCCATCTGAGATGCCTGCTGTGCATTCTGCACATCCTGTGGCAGGACAAAGTACCCAACATGGAGGTTCTAGAATGGGCCAGCATGAATAGCATGTTCACCATCCTCAGTGAGAGGCACCTTTGATAGCTCGGCCACGTCAGAAAAATGGATACATGCTGCATTCCCAAGGACCTGTTATACGGCAAACTAGCAGAAGGCACATTACCGACTGGATGGCCACATCTGTGATACAAAGACGTCTGCAAGAAGGACATGAAAATGGTCAACATTAGCATCAACAACTGGGAGAGCTGTGCTAACAACCGCTACGAGTGGCAAGTTGCTGTCAGACAAGGCATTCAGAAAGCCGAGGAAGGGATAAAAGCAAACCTTGCTACAAAGAGAGCCAAGAGGAAGGCGAAACAACAACAGCCTCAACAAGAATAAATCTTCACCTGCTACAAGTGCAACAAAGATTGTCATGCAAGGGTCGGACTCTTCAGCCACTCACGATGGTGCAGATAAGACACCAAAACAGGATGCTACACCATCATCTCTCGAAGACTGATGGATTCCAACACACACACACACACACACACACACACACACACAAACACATACATACATACATACATACATACATACATACATACATACATACATACATACATACATACATACATACATACATACATACATACATATATATATATATATATATATATATATATATATATATATATATATATATATATAATTTGGCATTGCATTTTGATATTTACTTCTGTGTTTTAAAAATGGTGTATTTAATTATTTAAATGATCGAAGGAAGATATGTATGTATGTTTAGATTCTGCCAGAATTAAAACGTTTATAATACAGCACCCCGTGTAATACGGCATATATTTGTTTTCCAGAATAGAACAGTAAAATTTAAAATCCAATGAATGATTGAAGATGTCTCAGTGAGCCGAAATATTAGCTCATACAGGTTTATTAAAGAACAAAGGACTAACAATATTTTTCAGATTTGTACATTCCTGAATTTTATTACATACATGTATAAAACATAATTAAAAATCGTTGAATAATAATGCAGTTAATTTGCCTTGTCAGTCAGTTGTCGGACCGTATATGCTGCTGCAAAGTTTCAGTAATTTTGAGGGGATAACGCCGTTAATCTTCCCACACCAACAATATAACTTAACATTTCAATTATGTTTTATTATATATTATATTTGTAATTTAGTTACGAAACGACTATAGCAATGGGTACGATCAGCACCATATGTACGAAACGACCAGTACCATGGGTACGAAGCGACTATTGCTTTGTTTACGAAACGATTCATTTGGGTACGAAACAACTTGGGTACAAAACTAGTTGGGTACGGAATGACCAGTTTCGGTAAAATTAATTGTATTCTATGGCCAACAGAGTGGAGAGAAGTCAGGGAACCTGATTACTCCACGATGTAGGTATTTACCAATCAAACGTGCCTCATGTCATATGACATTCAAAATGGTTGCACAAAGTTGATTCATGTACCGTAAGCGCTTATCAAGAAAGGACTTTGAAATATCATAAGGAAGAATTCATGCGCTT